CAACACTGGGAAGTTACATATGTCACAATATCCGGGAGGGATTTTTGTAACATAACTTCCCAGTGCATTGGATTTAGAATTATCCAGAAGGCTATTTTTTTACCTTTGAGTAACGTAACAAGAGGGATTTACACTTTGTTATGGAAAAAAACAACATAAACAGCACATTATCCACATTGCGTGAGGGTAAACCCCCTTGTTATGTGTTTGTTATCCACACTTAATTGTGGTGGATAGTGTAACAACAATAAAAAAAAAGCGGAAAAAAGAAAGAAAGAAAACATAACAGAAAGGCTTTTGCGGTTATTGTAACACTAACAGCCACAATTCCATTAAATTTTTGTTATGCTACCGTTACGGGCAGTGTAACCTCCCGCTGTTTCTGGGACCATCCTAGGAGTCATCTAAAGAACTCTAGATCTTTGGTTTCCAAGGAGGATGTTAGGACACGAACAACGTAGACTAACGACACAAGCTGAAAACAGTGAACCTTTGGTTTCCAAAGAGGATGTTAGGACACAAACGACGTGGACTAACGACACAAGCTGAAAACAGCAAACCTGGGTCAACACAGGAGGAGCGAATGCGTGTGAGACACAAGAACAAGAAAAAATCTGAGAGAATCGGATCATGATAACCTTTGGTTTCCAAAGAGGATGTTAGGACACAAACAATGTGGACTAACAACACAAGCAACGGTGGGCCAGCTACGCTAACCGTAGCGTAGTGTAGCAAAAAATCACTACAATTTAGTTTAGCGTTAGCGGTTTTTTTCAATTTCTGCGCTAACACTACGCGCATGGGGGAAAAATTTGCGCTAACATTTAGCGTAGCGTTAAAGCAATTCCCCTCATCTGCGCTAACGCTATGCGCACAGGGCGCGAAAAACCGCCCGCTACGCTGCATTACAGCAATTTTCAGCGGTTTTTAGGCGATTTTTGCCGCTAAAAACGCTGTAGCGTAGCGGCGCCAGCGGCGCGCTAACACTACACCAAAAATTGGCTAGTGTTAGCGCCACTGCAAGTTAGTGTAGCGCAGCGGCGCGCTAACACTACATGAAGAAAAAAAAAATGGCGCCGCTACGCTAATGCTACATGGGCCTGTAACGTAGCAGCCCACCGCTGACACAAGCTGAAAATAGCGAACCTGAAAGAAAGGACAAAGGATGAGAAATGAATGAGAGAAAGAGAGAAAGAAAGAAACAAGGTGAACAGACCAGGGTCAAAACAGGAGGAGTGAATGCGTGTGAGACACAAGAACAAGAAACAATCTGAAAGAATCAGATGAAGAAGAAAAAGAGAAACAACAAGAACAGGAATGAAGTGACTCTTAAGTACTACAGCCAATGGCAGATTAGGTTTCAATCCTTGTCTATCTCACAACCTGCACGTGACTAGATGCGCCACAGCAGGATGAAACTGAACCCGTCGGACTACTAGTTCAATATCATCTTCCCAATTCTCCCCAGGGGGATGGGAGTCTTTGTTTTATTTTTCCCTTTCACCTTGGGAGTTGTGGCAGACCATTGAGCTGCGCAGCTAGAAGCAAGACCTCTTGGCAATCAGGTTATTGAACTGCTTGGCCAGAGGCAAAACCTCTCAACAAGTAGGCTATTGACCTTCTCAGTGTAAGGTCTTGCCTCTTTCAAAACAGTTCAATGGTGTACTCATCAAGAGGAATTCTTCCCCTAGAGTTAGATCACCTAAGATACCAAACCCAAACTTGTAGAAGATATGATCATTGCTTTACATCTATTTTCACTACAATAGTGCCAGGGCCTCTGGATGCAGGGCTTCTCTTGCTTCTGTTAATAAAATGTACAATGGCAAAATGAGGGAAAGGTATGGTTTCCTTCCTGTTGTCGTATTTTTTTGTTAGATGCAATCCTCTGGATAGTCTGAGTTGGATGGTTGTTACCAATAGGAAAGTTGGGGGGCACATCATTTACAGAAAGGAAACCAAAAGTCAAATAGTGACAAAGTATTAGGAGAAATGTAGTCTCTTCTAATCCTTTTGAAATGATTCATCCTTTTCACCATTTCATTTTCCATCAATCTACTCTGGAATCAATGAAGAGTTATATTCTAGCTC